AGCTCAGTAACACAGCCCCTGCCTGGCAAGCCCAAGGTCCTGAGTTCAATTCCAAGACAAAAAAAGAAAAATGAAAATGTTCAAGGATCTAAGTAGATTGTAACATATTTATAGAAGGGAAGACTCAGAAATGGGACATTGGAGCTGATGATGCACTGCAGGATATATGAGGCCATGTTTAATCCCCAGTACTGAAGTGAGAAAAAATCTGTGATGCGAATTATTCCCATATTGATCTTTATTGTTATTTATTTATTTATTTGGTACAGGGTCTCACTATGCAGCTTGGACTTACAGTGATCCTCCTGTCAGCCTTCCTAGCGCTGGGATTGCAGACAAGTACTGTCTTGCCCAGTTTCGGTGGCCGGCTCAGCGTGGTGCTGGCGCAGCATGCAGTATGGGGGGAACCTGGGTCCTTGTGCTTGCCAGGCAGATGCTTAGATTGTTGAGCTAGCTCCCCATCCCTCATATTGATCTTCACATTCAACAAAATCCCAGTAGAAAAAGCTCAAAAGCCTTTTTTGTAAAAATTGATAAGCTCACTATAAAATTACATAAGATGCAAACAGGTGCCTATCTCAAACAAGTATGTAAAATATTGTTAAAATAGAAGAACAGTTGAAGGGTTCCTGGTTTCAAAATTTACTCTAAAGCTATAATAAAAGTGTGGTGTTGGCCCTAAGATAGATATAAAAATCAATGAGACAGAATAAAATCTGGAAACAGGCTGACATATTTGGTTGATTCTCACCAGAGATGCCAACATTAATCAACAGGGAAAGAATATGTTCTGAAATTGGTCCTCCAGGAACTGGATATGCACTGGGGGAAGAGGTGAACATTGATCTTTACCCAACACTATACACAAAAATTAACTCAAAATGTATAGTAGAGCCTAGAGTACTACACATGCCTGTAATCTCAGCACTCAGGGGACTGAGACAGAAGGATTGCTGAGTTCAGCGCAGCCTGAACTACATAGCAAGACCCTGTCTCCAAAACCAAAACTTTTAGAGAATAATAAAAGCTAGAACAAGAAAACTTCTAGAAAAACTTAGGGAAAAAAAAACTTCAGGCCCTAAAAAGTTAGGCAGTGATAGCTGTAGACACCACAAGAATGTGTCATAGAGAAAGGACGAAAGATCTGGGTGTAGTTTGATAAGAGAAGGTTTGCCTCGTTCTACCGGGTTCAGTGCCAGCACCAAAAATGGAGGAAAAAAAAATTGGGCTTTATCAAGTTGAAGTTTGTTATTCAAGATACCCCTTGTTTTGAGACAAGATCTCACTATGTGATTCATACTGGCCTTGAGCTCACTATGCAGCCCAGGATGGCCTCAAACTCCAACTGATCCTCCCGCCTCGGCCTCCTGTGTGTTGGGGTTTCAGGTGTGCACTATCAAGCCTGGCTTGGAAATACCCATTGAGAATCACAGTGAACTACACCAGCAAGTGAAATGCATGCGCTGGAAGGGCCTACATCACATAGACTGACAACGCCTGATGTTGGTGAAAATTCAGGGCCGTCAGAATTCCTGGACATCACACCTTGGCGTCTCTAAAGACACGCAGTGTGGTCCCTCCCGGTACTGCTGCCGTCCTCAGTAAACCCCCACCTTGAGCGACCCTCACAGAGCGCTCCTGGGCCAGCAGCAACTTCACCTGCGAGCTTGTTAGACATGCCAATTCTCTGGCCCTTGCAGGCTTCAAGGGGAGAAGGGAGGGGAGGCCCAGCGATGAGGGTTTTAACAGTCTGCAGGTGCTCACGGCGAAGGCGGGAAAACACGAGAGGGCGGGCAGGTCCGCTTCTGGAAGGCTGATTGGACCCCACCCCCTTCTCCCTGGCGCTTAATAGCCTCGTGGGTGCAGGCAGCTACCCTCCAGGGAGTCGGTTCGCTGCAGGGGGCCCGCGAGGACCCATGGGCTGACCTGAGCGCGGCAAGGCGAGGTGGGGACGGCTCTCTCCAGCCCTTAGCGCTGCGGTGCTAGTTCCTGGGGGCAGCGGGCAGCGGGCCTTTGTCCTCCAGGAGCTGCCCTCCCATCTGCCAGCTGGCTCGGGCATCACGCAGCAGGGAGCCGGCACTGCGACGCCCCCAGAGGGCCGGCCGCGCTACAGAACCCCGTCCTCACGGTTGCCCGGCCGCCCCGCCGTGCCCCAGCATGCGGCGCCGCAGCTCCAGCAGCATAGAGTACAAGGCAGGGAGGACCGTGCCCTGGGGTGAGCAGGGCTGGGTCCCGGAGCCGGGTTACTGGCTGCTGGGAGCCTCCCTGGCCTCCTGCCCACTTGTGCTCCTCGCCCCCCTGCCAGGCGCCGAGCTCAACCTGGAGAGGAAGCTTTGCACCTTCCGGCCCCAGGTGGAGGAGGGCTGCAGGCTGCTGCTCAGTGCGGTGGGTACCCGCGGAGGGGGGATGCTTCCCTCCCAACAGGTGATGGGCGGCTCCCGCGTGCCCGGGAGTGATAGATGCGTCTGTCAACCTCTCAGATTTGCTTGGGAGAGAAAGCCAGCCGGGATGAGGTGAACCGTGTGGAGATTGTGCCCACGGCAACGCCAGAGGACAAGAAACCGCCCACCATCACCATCGCCACGCTGAAGGCCTCAGTCCTGCCCATGGTGAGTGCCCACATGTGCCCGCCTGTGCGGGTGATAGGGATGCTGCTGATTTGCTTACTACTTCTGTAACCAGAAATTCCTTGTTTGCAATAATTCATCTTGGAATTCATCAGAGAGACTGAGGGGATCACAGTAGCCTGGGGAAATCCCAAATTCACAATTTGATATGGCTTCCATATCATTCTGAAGTTCAAAAACCATGAGTGTCACCATGGAAACCCATAGTGTCCCTTTCAGATAACTGCAGTAGTGGTCGATATCTTTGGTACCTTTTCTTCCTGATCTCCTCCGCCCCTTACTGGAAAATGAACCCATGACCTTATGCTAGAGTTACTCCCCAGCCCTTTTTTTGATTGTGCTTTGAGACAGGGTCTCAGTAAGTAGACAGATTACCCAGGCTGGACTCGAATTTGCTATCCTCTTGCCTCAGTCTTCCAGTGTTGGGATTATAGACATACAGCACCACACCCAGCTCCTTCCTGCTTTTTTTAAAAGTGTGTCTAGTGGGTCTCTCTAAAATATGAAATGTTTGCCAGATGCCTTTTGTGAGGCTAAAAAGATGCCCCTGTGTAGTCCTACTCTGCTTCAAAAAAAGCCTTTTTCTCTTTATCATAAATAGTGGTTAAACTTAATCAAATGCTTTTCCACTCATGATCCTGGGTTCTTCTCCATTCCACAAAGATGATGAAATGCAAAGTATTTTAGTCTTTCATTCCTGGAATAAGCACTACTTGATCATATAAATTTTGCATTCGTTTTTCTCATAGATTGAGACTTCCTTCTGCCTTTACTTCTGTACTCTTCAATGAGGCTGGCCGATAAGTTGTCTCATGTGGGTGGAAGCGCAGAGGCCTCAGGAACCGAGGATGGAGACTCCTCGTTTCCTGAACAGCAACAACTGTAAACCAGGCCGAGAAGCTGTGAGAGAGGGCCTCGGCAGTGCCCTCACGCCTCCTTTCTTCTCCTCCATTGCAGGGGTGTGAAAAGCCCTTCACACAAATGAAGGCTCACGGCCAGGTGTGGTGGCACACACCTGTAATCCCAGCCCTCGGGAGGCTGAGGCAGGAGGCTTTCGGAGAGTTCTAGGCCACCCTAAATTACATAGCGAGACCCTTTCTCAAAAAAAAAAAAAAAAAAAAAAGACTTTAGGGCAGGGGAAATGGCTCATGTCTCAGTGGAATAAGCGCTTCTCAAGCGCCTGAGTAGAATCCCTGGTTCCGCAAAAAAAAAAAAAGAAAAAAGAAAATTTCTTGGTTTTTATCTACAACCCCATCCCCACCCAGTAAAGAGGTTTTTCTTCCAATTAGGACAAATGTCTCTTTCCCTTTCCAAATCTGATCTTCCAGCAAATCCAGTGGGCTTGATCACATGTCCCCTGGACCCTGGCTGCCTACCTCGTAGCCGTCCAGACCGCAGCATGGGCTCGCCCCCTCCCTAACACAGCTGAAACCCTTTGGTTTTTCTGCCTCACCTTGAACACTGCACACATCCACCTTGCGTTTCCATCTCCTGTGCCTGGAATGCTTATCCCATGAGCTTCCTCAGGGATTCCTTTTCTGGAACTCGGACAAAGAGCTCTTCCCTACCTGCTCCCACAGGATCCGTGGCCACCAGCATCAGTTTCCCTTTGGCCTGTAGCAGTGCCTGTCCTAGGCTGGGACTCTGTGGAATGAATGAGTTGAATGAATGACTGGTATGAGATTAGTATGTTTTTAAACTATTTTTTGCTGGGTGTTTTGTTTTTGCGTCAGGTCTGTCTCTAGCCAAAACTGGCCTTGAACTCATTCTGTAGCCCAGGCTGGCCTTCAACTCACAGCCCTGTCACAGCTTCCTTCCCAGGTGGAGGGATCACAGGCATGTGCAACCACAGGTAGCTTTGCCCCTTTTAGAATTTCTCTTACATGGAATTGTATGTGGCCTGCTTCTTCACTTGGCCGAATTGAGACTGATCTACATGGGTAAAACTGCATGGCGCTCTTTTTTTTTTTTTTTTAATGTTGGAGCGGTATTCCACCCTAACTAGCCACACACCTGCTAGTTCCCAGGTGTAAAGTGTTGTGCGTGAAGCCACAGTGAACACTGGCATGTGAGTCTTCATGTGGACCCGTTTCTCTTCTCCTGGGCACACTGCTAGGCCTGGACCTGCTAGGCTGTGGGGTAAGCACCACTCAAGTCCATCTCCCGGATTGCTTCACCCTCTCCTTTTGTGTCCTGCAGCAGCGTTTGAGAATCCTGTTGCTCCCTGATCTTACACCTCAACTCAACTCATTCCATATTGGCTGTTTGTGCATCTTTGAAAAACTATTTATTCAAAGATTTGCTCTTTGAATTGTTCAAAGGTTTTCTCTTAGTGGGTTTAATTATTTTAATATTTATCTTTCTACTGTTGAACTCTTGGTTCTTTATATGTGTTGCATACAAGTCCCTAATCATGTGATTAGCAAGAACTCTCCCATTCTGCTGCTTTTTCCTGATAACATCTGCTGCTCCCCAGCCCTCCTTGAGGGATTAATGAATATTTTTTTAATTTTATTTATTTATTTGTGTGTGTGTGTGTGTGCGCGTGTGTGGCCAGCTCAGCCCACCAGGGGGCAGAGCTGGCTGGTATGTGGTGCTGGGGATTGAACCGTGGTCACTGTGCTTTGCTAAGCTTGTTCTAAGTAGGTGCTTTAGACCACTGAGCCATCTCACCAGCCCGAATATTTATTTTTGAGATAGGGTCTACTATGTTGTCCAGGCTGGCCTCAAACTTGGCTTACTTTTTAAAAAAATTATTAGTATATATTTGTAATACACCATGTTCACATACTCTTGGGAGCACGTACATGTGCTTTGCCTCTCTATCCGTCCTTCTGTCTCTAATCCCTTTCCATTTCCAAAGGATCTGTCTCCCTTTCCTACGGCCTTTTGTGGTGTTTATTGAAATTATTTATTCATATGTCCCCCTCCCCTCTAGGGATTCTTGAGTGTTTGGATAAAACCTCCAAAGGCAGCTGTGATCAGGCTGCTGACCCAGGTCCTGTTGTCCTCTCCCTAGCAGCCACATGTGGCCCAGGGCTCAGCTGTCCTCTGCTAGGGAAACTCAGGCCTGTGGCACCCAAGGCTCCTGCCAGGACACCCTCCCCAGGGCTGCCTCACTTCTGGCCCCTCTAACTTTCCCTGAGTTCCAGCCTCAACCATGTCCTAGTCTGACCCAGAAGTTGTCCATTAATCACTAAGGTTCTGCTGCTTTCTCTGTAGTCATAGGTGTCTTGTGGCAAGTGTGATGGTGCACACTTGTGATCCCAGCACTCACAGCCCTTGCGAGGCTGAGGCAGGGGGATAGTTGTGAGTTCGAGACCAGCCAGGGCTACAAAGTGAGCTCAAGGCCAGCCTGAACTGCATAGTGAGATCCTGTCTTAAAAAGACAAAATTTCTTTTTTTATAAATTGTTTTTAAAGGTTCAGATCTTTCTGTTCACCTTAAGAATGCTGGTGAAACTGCCCAGGCCATCACAGATATATAGGACATGAGTATCAGAAAAGCCACCAAATATCTGAAGGATGCACATTTAATTTATTTATAGTGTTTTGGGGTGTTTTGGGTTTTGTTTTGTTTGTTTTGGTGGACCCGGGCATTGAACTCAGACCCTTGCACTTGCTAGGCAAGCGCTTATTCTACTGAGCCATCTTTCTGGCCCCCAAAAAATAATTTTAAAAGGCCTGGAGATGTAGTTCAGTATGAAGGCCCTGGCTTTAATCCCACTACTGGGCCAAAAAGACATAAAGCACATAAAACGCTTAATATGGTATCTGGTATATAACAGACACTCAAAAAGTATAACTAAATTAGAGGATTTAAGGGCCAGGGAGATGGCTTAGTAGAATAAGCACTTTCAATGGCCTGAGTTCAATTCCCAGTTGCCAAAAAAAAAAAGTCTTTATTATAGAAAATCTGAGCCAGAACATGAAGGTATCTTCCTTTAGGTGTAGCTACTCAGGAGGCTGGGCCAGCCTGGGCTACATAGCAAGACCCTGTCTCAAAATAATAACGATGTCATCATAAGCCCCAGCCATGACCTCATCTAACCCTAAGCACCTCCCACAGTGCCCATGTCCAATGCACGGGCTGAAGGATGGCACATCCTGGAAGGAGGGTGCCTTTGGCCCTAGGCCTGGAAGCCAGTTCATGGTCCCCAGAGAAGACGAGGATGGGGCTCTTCCCACAGGACCCTGTCTCAGCAGGAGGGTGTGTGCTACGGGTGCTTGGATGCCCTACACCAGCCTGAGTCCTCTGTCCCCTCCTCCTGCAGGTGGCCATGGCAGGTGTCTCGCTGGCTCCCCCAGTCACATTCCAGCTGCGGGTCGGCTCAGGCCCTGTGTTCCTTAGTGGCCAGGAGTATCATGGTGAGTGTTGCAAGCCAGCCCAGGAGAAGGGCTACCCTGGGGACTCGGGCACCGAGGGATAAAGCCCCAAGGGGATGCCACTGCCAGTAGCCTGAGGTGGTGGCACAGTCCCCAGCCCAGAAGCTCCTCACCCCTACTGCCACATCCTCTGTGGCCTCAGCAGGACTTGTCCTCAAGAGCGACTGTAGGACAAATGCAGAACTCCTGAGGAGCACTAAGCACAGCGCTTAGTACCCATGCCGCTACCAGTAACTGAAGCACAGCCTTGAGGGCACCCCGGTGACTTCGCTGCCTTCACCAGCCCCTCCTGCCTCCAGCCCCACCCTCTGCACGTTCTAATGCGTGCCCTGTGCTGGCAGGTGGCAGGGGACTGCTCTCAACCCCATGGGGGTCTCCCAGGACAGAGGTCTGGGACAGGACCGGAGCATAGAGTCTGGAGCTCAGTTAGAGCTCAGGTCTCCCCACACCTGCCTGTGCAGCTGCAGAAACTTCAGACCCTGTCTGGGAAGATGAGGAGGAGGAAGGAGAGGAGGAGGAAGAAGAGGAGGAGGAAGAAGAGGAAGAAGACGATGAGGCAGAAGTGTCCATAGAGGACACTCCCACCAAACAGGTCAAAAGGCCAGCACCGCAGAAGCAGACCAGTGCTGCCAAGGTGGGGAAAGGATGGAGGTTGTTACATTCCCTGGGCGCTGCATGGGGGTCTCTGGGCCCCCAAGGCCTGCCCAGGGTCCAGCTGAGAGCTTGTGAATGCGGCTTGGGAGAGGCTTCTGGCCTAGGCCTCACCCTACTGGTACTAATGCTTGATGGTTTTTGGTTCCCAGAAGAAAAAGGTGGAAAGAGAAGATGAGGAGGTGGCAAGGTAACTTTCCATCCTTAAAAAAGTTTGGTTCTGTTCTGTGCTTCTGGGGATTGAACCAGAAGGCACTGAGCTATATCCCCAGCCCTTTCAGTTTCAATTTATGTATGTATTTAGAGTCAAAGTCTTACTATGTAGATTAGGCTGGACTTGAACTCACACAGGAAGACTAGGCCAGCATCGAACTCCCTGATCCTTACTCCTCGACCGGCACCACCGCATCTGGCACTTTTTTTTTTTTTTTTTTTGGTGGAACTGGGGATTGCACTCAGGCCCTTGAGCTTGCCGGGAAAGAGCTTATTCTAAGCCATTTCCCCGGCCCCCTATCACTTTTTTTTTTTTATTTTGAGACAAGGTTATGCTAAATTCCCCATACTGGCCTTGAACCTGTGATCCTCCTGCCTCAGCCTCCAAATTCTGGGTTTACAGCTGTGCTAGAAAGCAGTGTAGGCACAGAGGTGACAGCCCTGGAGGTTGGCACAGCTCTCTTAAGCATGAAAATGCTGTCTTCTGACCTCCTTCAGTTAGGCAATTTCTTCCAAAGAATGAGCCGAGAGAGATTATATTGGTACCTCGGTTCACGGGCCTAAGTTTTTTCACTATTCTGGAAAAGATGGCCATGTTTGTGTGGAAAGGTGATCGCTGTGGAGCTCATAGATGTAATGTTTTTAAACACAAACAAAATGCTGCCAGACGCTTTTGTTTGTGAACCAGATTGTTCTGGCCTCAAGCTGAGCACTCCCCCTTGGTTAGGTGCGGTGTTCCACACAAGACGCCCTCGAAGAAGGTGAGTGGGAGCAGGCGGGTGAGGCGTGGGTCTTGGGGAGACTGGGGTAGAACAAAAATGGGTGTCCCTTGTCCCCACAGGGCAAATCGGCAGAAAGACCTAGGAAGCTGGAGACCAAGAAGAAAGGCACCTTCGATACCCCGTGATCCTGGAGGCCTCTTCTTCCGGCCGTGCTGCGGCGCGACCCCCTATCCCTCCCTCCGTATGACCCCCAGTGTCGTGAGGTCCACACAGGAGCCCTGCACCCCCACACCCCCAGGGCCAGAAGGCCCTGCGGAAGAGAGCCCTAGCCAGCTGCGCAGGGCCACAATAAAGTTTGCTTTGTCTTGCTCTCTGCCTCAGGCCTGCAGCCTGCAGGGGACGCCAGCGAGCCAGCACGGGGCCCTTGCGCCCGCCGCCCCGCCCCTCCTCCCGGCCACGCCCCCTATCGGCCACGCCCCTTTGCTGAGCCCCCGCTAGCCCTGGGGCTTTCTGTCCCTCTGTACCTATGGACAGGGTCTGGATTACAGATGTGGAGCTTCCTGGTTACTGTTCCTCCTTGGAACCCTTGGGGCACGACCCTCCCAGGTTTCCCATGTTAGGGCACAGACCGTGTGTGCCAGCCAAGTGCTGGGTGAGGCCAATAGACAAGCGATGGGGTAGTTGGCACTGTCGGGCTCAGACCTCCTACCCTATCCTGGCCAGCGCATGGCTTTGGAGCCCCAGGCACCAGCAGGTGATCCTGGCTGAGGCCTGTCCCAGGCGGGCAGCAGATGGGCCCCGCTGGTGGCTACTCCATGCAGGGTTCTGCCCCTCTACAGCAACCCCTGACTGGGGTTTAAGTGACCTGGGTAAGGGTCCCAGGATCCCCTAGGTCTTTGGTCTCGATGTGGGAAGTGCAGCACCAGGCTTTAGTCTCCCGTAAGCTTTCTGGGTGCCTGGTAGGCAGCTGATGCTCCCGGAGCCAGGCTTTGGCCACAGACACGCATGGTGGACAGAATCGGTACCTCGCCTGCTAGTTGCCTGTTGTCCCAAGGAAAGAAAAGCAGCATCTAAACTTCAGTTCCTGTCCAGTGCTCTGGGATGTAGAGCAGGCGCACACCTGGTGGGAAAGGCTGTTGGTTAGGTCCGAAAAGGCCGCTGGAGCAGGCGGCTGACCAGCAGGGGAGGGCAGAGGATGCTCCTGGCGATGAGAAGAGCATGCAGAGGCTGAGACAGGAGTGGACCTGTCTGGAGGCAATCGCAGTGACAGCCGCTGACGCGTTAAGTGCTATCACGTCCCTTGAGGGTGGTGATATCAGCCCCACTTCACAAATGAGGAAAGTTGAGGCTCAGAGAGCTTAAACAAGGATTCCTGAGGAAGGAGGCCAAGTATTCTAACCCACTAGGGTCTCGCACAAAGCTATTTCACTAGCCCATCTTTTTTTTTTTTTTTTATTGGGGATTGAACTCAGGACCTTGCACTTACCAGGCAAGCACTTATTCTACTGAGCTATCTCCCTAACCCCTATCTTTTATTTTGAGACAGGGTCATTCTCAGTCATTAAATTGCTCCACATGGGCTCACATTTTTGGTCTTCCTGCCTCAGCTTCCCAGAGCGCCTGGATTATAGGTGTGCACCATTGTGCCAGCTAGGGTGTCAGGGCTTTTGCATCTGAGCACTCTACGTTCTCAGGGGAGAGGTGGGCTACAGCACGCAGAAATCTCCTAAACTTAGGGCAGGAGTTAGAACAAAGTCCACTGGGGAAGGTTCAAGGGGAGTCTCCAGGGACAGTGCTAACCAAGCAGGTAGTCATTCAGCAGGTACTTCCTGTCCCCAGGCAAGTACAGACTCCACACCCCACAGGTAAACTTGGCTCTTCAGATTTGGATCTGCGGGCAACCAGGAGGGATCAAACAGACTGGCTGTGCCCCTTCCCCTTCCCCTACACAATCCCTCGGTGTTTCGACAGGAGTGGGGTGGGCTCGGGCAGGAGCAGGTGGTGACAAGTGGCAGGTCCACAGGGGAGCTCCGCAGCGCCTGGTCTGTTAAGAGGACCTGGTGAGAGACAGCCCCAGGTGGGGGGTGTTGAACTTGGCACTAGGGGGTGGGGTTCAGCTACAGCGGCCTAGCTACTTCTCACATCCCTGCTTGCCTGCAACCCCCCCCCATTGTTAATGAGCCCTCCCCCTCTCCCAGGTCCCTGGGACCTAGGAAGAAAGTTGGCCAGTGCTGAACCACCTACAAGTCCCCCTCTCAAAGGCTTTCATATTTCCCCATAAATCCTTAAGCTGACATTCCTAGTGGCAGTTTCCTTTTTCTAGGTGAAGGACCCAAGACCAGAGGAGTGAAGAGACTTGCCACAGGTCACACAGCCTATACGGTTGGAGATCAAGTCCAGACTCCAGGCAGATGGTGTGCTCAGTGCTAACACACACACACACACACACACACACACACACACACACACACTCTCGGAGCCCATCACTGGCTCTCCCATGGGGATAAAGGCACAAAGCCAAGAAAGGCAGGCCTGCAGGTGCTGGTGGGAAGGAACAGGGAGCCAAAGATACTCATCCGTGAAGTGGGCTACCCTGCCATGCCCCAGAGCCCCCTGGGACCAGCTCCTGGCAGATCCCCAAGGCCAAGCTTGACTGCTGGCATCTGTTACCATGGAGACTGAGGCTGGTCAGTGAAAGCAGGCCCTGTCCCCACCAACAGGAGGGAGATGCTCAGGCTCAGAGGCCTTAGGCACTGGTGAATGAACCCCAGCACCCACCTTCCACCCTCAGGTCACTCCTCTAGCACGGAAGCCCAGGTCTGAGCTATCCCTTCTGACCTGTGGCTCCATCTGACCCTTGGGTGAAGAGGGCTGGATGTGGGTAGCTAATAGCACCCTTCCTGGGAGCTGGTGGAGAGATGCTATGAAGTCAAAGTTTTCCCAAAAAAGTAAGCTGGAGCCAGATGGAGAGATGGATTGGGGAAAACTTCCCCCAAAGATATAGAGATTAAAAAGCAGACCTCAGCAAGATAGCATGGCAGCATAAGCACCTGCCTGGCAAGTGCAAGGTCCTGACCCCCAGTACCACATGCTGTGCTGGCCCCCAAAACCCAGGCGCACAGTGCTGGCCACTGAAGCCAGATGTGGTGGTCCACACCTGTAATCCCAGCGCTAGGGAGGCTGAAACAGGAGGATCACTATAAGTCCCAGCTGCATAGTGAGACCCTATATCAAAAAAAAATTAATAATAATCAAAAAAGCAGGCTTCAAGGGCCAGGGAAATAGCTCAGTAGAATGAGCCCTTGCCTGGCAAGCACAGGGTCCTGAGTTCAATCCCCGGTACCACACACACACAAAAAAAAAAAGCAGGCCTCAAATAGAAGGAAGAATGTGAGGCAGAAACTGGCCAGGAGGCTCAGCACAGGCTGCGAGGTGGGACAGGCTGGTGCGTGTCTGAAGGTGAGAGGGCTCTGTTCTAGGTGGCTGGGCACTTGGCCCCTTACCCAGTCAAGCTACCAGCCAGCTATGGGATGTGAGTCCAGCCATCTACCCTTTCTGGGTGACATCAAATGGACCAAGCTGGTTGAACCAGATGATGATTTGAGATCCCTGCCAGTCTTGACATTCTCTGAGCCTGATTCCAAAACCCTGGACTCTCCCAGTTGGGGGGGGGGGACCTCACACCACCTGATGCAAATCAGTTCTGGTAGCTCACTCTGGGTGGAGCTGTAAGGTCCCCTGCTGGCACAGGCCAGAGCCAGCAGGTTCCTTCTGGTGTTTGCAGGTGGTTGTGTGCAGGACAGGGTGGTAGACCGCTATGTGGATTGGTGGAGCTTAGGAAGGTGAGAGTTTCACCTCCCAATGAGCTGTTAGATAAATAAGTCTACATCCACAATGAGAGCTCCAGGGAGCCAGAGCCTGGGCAGGGCTTTCCTCCAAGGCCCTAAAACATCCCCCCTTACACGGCCTGCCCTCATCACCTACCTTTCTGCACAAGGGGACAGAGGAGAGCTGCCCAGCATCAAGGAGGGTGTGGCTACAAGCTGTGTGGAAACCTGCTCATCCTACTCCTGGCCTGCTCATCTGAGCAAACAACCTACCAATGTGCCTCAGTAGCATCAACTGTTAAGTGACAGCTGGCTCAGTACAGAGCAAAGGAGGATTAGAGGCCAAGTCTGGAAGCAGCTGGGCTCTGCACTCCCAGGCAGGGGACACAAGTGGGGCACAGGGGCCTAAGGGATTGGGGTGGAGGGCTCAATGGAGCTGGATCAAAGTCCAAAGGTCAAAGCCCTGAATGTATTACAGATTTTTTGAATCTGCTAAATGTTGCATCTCTCCCAGGGGATGGTAGTACATGCCTATAATCCCAAGACTCTGGAGTCTTAGGCAGAGGAGGACTGCCATGAGTTCAAAGCCAGCCTGGCCTACAGAACAATTTCAAGGCCAGCCTAGCCTGAACTACACAGCGAGACCCTGTCTAAAAAAAAAAGCCACACCTCATGCAGCCCTCCAACACCCTGAGGTATTACTGTCCCTATTTCTCCAAGGAGACTGCAGAGGCCGGAGGAAGCTTTTTTCTGTTCTCCTCCCAAGACGCTCAGGTGCACCTTTCCCTCCTCCTCAGCCCCAACCGGCTGCACCCATTATTAGCTGCCCAGGCAGGGAGGTCTTAACCCCTCCTTCCTGGTGGCAAGGGGTGATGAGGCTAAGCCAGCACCAGAGGCTGCTCAAGCCAAGCCCACCCCTACCCCCTGGAGGGAGGCTCCTCCTTTTAAGGTTGCTTCTGGGAATTCCCACCCCAAGCCAGAACCTGCGACCCTAACTCTGCTCTGTACCTGGAGCTCAGCCCTGGGCCAGCCGATGGGGCCCCGAACCTGAGGGTAGGAGCAGCTGACCCTGGAAGAGGGACGGTGCCCTCCTCCTTCCTCCTGCCAGCCACACACCCTGCACTGAGGCAGGCAGGTCTGTGTGGGTCAGGGATAAAGCAGAAGCCCGCAGGAGCAGTCAAGCACTGAGAGCTCCCGTGGCCCCATCCCCAGTGCCTGGGCAGCCTGGCCTGAGGCTAGCAGTCCAGAGGGCTCAGGCACGAGCCCCCACCGCCGTGGGCTTTGCAGCCTCACTGGCCGGGAAGGTGGTCACCTCACACCTCAGTCTCCCAATTGCGCCCTCCTCCCTCCTCCCCCTCTCCTCTCCTCTCCTCTCTCTCCTCCTCTCCCCCCTGAAAACCTGTGACTCAGAGAGAGAGACCTTGGCTCCTCCAGGACTCTACCCTCAGGGGCTGCCGGCCTGTCTCTGCTCCTGAATTTGGGGGCAGGGGGGCAACCACCCCAAGAAGTCTCTCCAGCGATGGGAGCCACCCGCTTGCTGCCCAACCTCACGGTGTAAGTGTCCAGCCCTGCAGGTACCTCGGCCGCAGGTCTGGTCCGTCCCATCCTGGGCAGCCCAGCCTCCTCCCTGGGACTCCTGTGGGGTGGGTGGCAGATGTGTGGTGGGGGCCATGTGTGCCTCTCGGCTGGCCTTGGGCACCCACACTGGGACCTGCTTCCTCTCCCCAAACAGGTGCCTGCAGCTGTTGATTCTCTGCTGTCAGACGCAGGTAGGCATCCCCTTGGCCAGCTTGTCCCCATCTTTCCCTGGGAGGGGAGACAGGTGGATGCTGGACTTCCCTGGGCCCAGGAGATGCTAAGGTTTGCAGGTTGCCTTTCTGTGCCTGAGTCAAGAGAGGCTAAGGCAGGCTGTCCTCCCTCTGACCACCCTCCCGCTGCCATGGGTCCTGCTGCTCCCGCCATCCTGGGCATGGGCTCCTGCAGGCTGTGTGCGGGACACTCCAGACCTGGAGCATTTGGAGGTGGGTGAAGGTGACAACCAGGTGAGGCTGGTGCCTGGGAGCACCTGAAAGGACAGGTTTGATCCAAAACCCTTTGTGTGGTCCACTCACCACCTGCATGGGCAGCAAAGGGGCAAAGTCCGGATGCCCGGACAGAGTGAGGTGACTCTTTCCCTATAGGGCAGTGAGGTCAAGACCAAAGAGGTCTGTTAGGGACCAATTCAGGGTTTGCCTCTCCACACTCCCCCCACCCTCACGCACACCTCCCACCCCCAAGCCTCAGGCCCCTGTGTGAGGAGGCTCGGCCCTTTTTTGTGATACTCCGTAAAAGTGCAGCTATTAAAATGCACTGGTCCAGAACCGCTCTGGGGAGAGATCGCCTGGCTTTCCCAGGCCAGAGGCCTGCGTTTCTTCCTATCCAGTGGGGACTTTTTTTTTTTTTAAGGTAAATGCCTTTTCTCTTGGCGAGGGAAAGGGTTGCCTTTGAAGCAGTGGGGGGGTGGGAGAGAGAGACAACCCCCCCTTTCCTTCCTCCTTTTGCTCTAACCCCGTTCCAGCCCTTTTGCTTCACACATCCAGGGAGAGCAAGAAGAAAGCCCCCAGCCTGGCTGGGAGGGGGCTGGGGGTGGGCCCAACCTGTTCTGGAAGGGGAATTAGCACAATGGTGCGGCTGGCCAGGGCGTTTATGGCCTGGCTGAGGCCCCATTCAGTACTTGGGGAAGGTGGCAAGGCTGTCCTTCCCCCCTTGAAGTGCCCCCTCACTCCCTGGGCGGGGCAGGGGGGGTGCAGGCTGAACCACAGCCATGCTTGAGGGGCCCTCTGACAAGCAGCTGTCTGCAGTGGTGGAAGGGGAGGTCTCCCCCGCGGCGGGAACATGAAAGGCACAGGCAAGGTCCCTCAGGGAGAGGGACTTGTGGGCTGTGGGCTGTGGGGGGGGGCGTGGGCTGCTTTTGTGAAAAGCTTGAAGGGGGACATGGAGAGGAAGGGGTTTCGGGGGGCCCTCTCTGCCCCTGACCTGGAGCAGACTGCCAGAAGGGAGCTGCCCGCCAAGAGGGGTGGAGGGCCTGAACCTGGGCCAGGAGACTTTGGGCTGGGACAGGCAGGTCCCCACCCCAGGCAGGGAGGCCATTGAGGGGCAGCCCAGCAGGTCCTCTGCCCCAAATGCTTGCCTTAGATTTTCCCAAGGTGGGGTGCAGGGTGGGGCCCAAAGGCATTGCTGTCCTGCTACTGTCCCTGAAGCAGTCCTGGGCTTTGGGGACCAGCGCTGAGATACCAGGCAGGTTGAACCTTCCTGAATTCTTCACCTGCCCCTCCCCAAAGATGGTGCTTCCCAGCCTTCTCTCTGGCACAGAGGGGCCCTTAAGAGATGCCCAGTTGGGTCTAGCTCTGTCCAGATGGTTGGGATGAAGCCTAGGATAGATGGCATTAAGGACTGGGGACAGGCTGTCCCCACACTGGCCAGCAGGATCCAAGTGGAGAGAAAAACATATAGTCCGTTTCTGAGCAAGAGCTGACGCCATCACTGACAGCTGGGAACCATCATCCTGACAGGCACCTTGCAGCGGGCACCTTGCAGCGGGCACTTTGCAGCAGGCACCTTGCGGGAGGCAGGCACCTTGCAGCGGACAGAGGGCAGAAAGAACCCATCCCTCTCCCTGCTTAGTGTTAGGGGGTAAAGGGAAGCCCAGTGGAAATCATGCTGACCCTGGCACCTGATGGGGTGGAAACGGTGGGAAACGTGAGTCCCAACATGAGGCAGCACCCCAGCTGGCCAGAGTAGCACAGGCCAGCAGGTGGCTCTGAGGTGCAGCAGCCTTTGGGCCCAGCTGATAGCACCTCCCACTGCCGCATCCATCTCCCTCCCCACAAAAGAGGCAGCTAAAGTGGGTGGAGCCCAGGAGGGAGACCCAGGCAAGAGGCAGGACTGTAAAGAAATGCTTAAAGGGCCTTACAGAACTTGAGGATAAGGGCCAAAAGACCCCAAAATATCCTCCAGTGACCCTAACTCAAAGCCCCTAGCAAACCATCTGCTGTGTGCACCGGAGCTGGAGCTGAGGTCTTTTAGGGCCAAGAAGAGAATCAGGGAGAGATCCATTTTCCTAGCTATTGAAGCCTCCCAAGACCCCAGAGGTAGGGAAAGGGGTTCTAATCTTGATAATCTGTGTCCCACCATGGAGCACACAGACCGGACGCTACACCCTGATGGTCCCTTCCGGCTCCCTGAATTATTATTCTAGGTCTCACTGCGGCCCCAAAGTAGACACAGAGTGCACAGCAGCCTGGAGGGTTCTGGCCAGATGCCTTCCCCTGGCACCTTCTGCCCCAAAGAATATGTGGCCTGTGCCCACTGCACTCACCTCCACCCCCTCTCCCCCAATGGACCAACCATGGTGTCGCCCAAAGCAAATTGACACTATTTTTCCCTTGGTAACCGCAAAGGGGGAGAATCACCCGTCTCCTAATTTTAACCAGTACGTGAGGGACCAGGGTGCCATGACTGACCAGCTGAGCAGACGGCAGATCCGTGAGTACCAGCTCTACAGCCGGACCAGTGGCAAGCATGTGCAGGTCACCGGGCGTCGCATCTCTGCCACCGCAGAGGATGGCAACAAGTTTGGTGAGACCTGGCCCTGCCCGCCCCCCCCAACCCAGATCCCCGGGCAGTGAGAGAGAGGGAAGAGGGTTGCCCAAGGGTCTGTGGGCTGGGAGCCTGACAGTCCCCATTCCTCTGGCCTGAGCCAAGAGGTCAGACTGGCTGGGGGGCGGGGGGGGGTCCCCAGGTGCACCCTGAACAGACCGTGGTCCTTCCTTTCATCTCAGCCAAGCTCATAGTGGAGACGGACACCTTCGGCAGCCGGGTGCGCATCAAGGGGGCCGAAAGTGAAAAGTACATCTGCATGAACAAGAAGGGCAAGCTCATTGGGAAGGTGAGGCCCAGGCCCCAGAGGCCGCAGGGCAGCAGGCTGCAGGGTCTGTCCCTCCCGGCAGGGCCAGACTGTGCCTCAATACACCTCCCTCTGCTGAGCCCCGCCCATCCGAGGGAGAAGAGACTTCACTGGCTAGGGCATCTTGCTCTTTTCTGTCCTCCCTTTCCTCGGTTCCTCTATTTAAACATGCAGCAATCAGTAAGAATTCTAGTGCCCGTTGTTGCAGCCCTTGTTGAAGAGGGCTAAGGACTAACAAGGTTGAAAGCTGGCACAGCTGTATAAGACACTGGCACAAGCAACACATGCCAGTAATCCTAGCTACTCCAGAGGTAGAGCCGGGAGAACTAAAAGTTCTATCCAGCCTGGGCCACTTAGCAAGACTGTGTCTCAAAATAAAAAGTTAAAAAAGCTGAGACTAGTTCTAGCACGTGTGAGGCCCTGGGTTCATTCTTCAGTGTGTATACACACACACACACACACACACACACACACCCCACTGCAAATTTAGTGTGGTCCTTGGGCTTCAGCTGGCAAGACACATTCCAAAGCATCTGCTGTGGACCCTGCCCTGGCCAGCACCCCTTGCCTGATGCAAGGCTTGTATATACCAGATCCCTGGGCTATGTTCTGAACCCTGTATTACTTCCCTCTCAGGAAACTAAGAGGTCAAATAGCTTACTTGAAGGACAAAGGGAGATAGCTCAGCGGCATAAGTGCCTGCCTGGGAAGCACAAGGTCCTGAGTTTGATCCACGGTACCACACACAAAAGGACAAGACTGTACATAAGCTTGTCAAAGTTTGTTTTTTCTCCCTGTTGCCATCTTTAAAAAGATATCCCTGTCCCCAGGCAGCTCCACTCACTGGCTCCACTGTCCTATGCTGGGTCCTACAAAATAGGCCCAAAGCCAGAGAGCTCAGACAAAGAGGATAAACTCCCCTTTCTCCCCACTTCCCATGCAGCCCAGCGGGAAGAGCAAGGACTGCGTGTTCACTGAGATCGTGCTGGAGAATAACTACACAGCCTTCCAGAATGCCCGGCACGAGGGCTGGTTCATGGCCTTCACGCGGCAGGGCCGGCCCCGCCAGGCCTCCCGCAGCCGCCAGAACCAGCGCGAGGCCCACTTCATCAAGCGCCTCTACCAGGGCCAGCTGCCCTTCCCCAACCACGCGGAGAGGCAGAAGCAGTTCGAGTTTGTGGGCTCGGCCCCCACCCGCAGGACCAAGCGCACCCGGGGACCCCAGCCTCTCACGTAGTGGCTGGTGGGAGGCCGGGCCAGCTGCCTTTCCAGCCCTTCCCTTCTTGATCCAAAGACTGGGCTGGGGTGGAGAGAGGAAGAGCGACCCCACCCACCCTAGGACCCCCGAGGACGAAAAACACGAGCCCCAGCTGGTAAGGAACAGGACTGCCACACCCCAGGCTGGCACCATGCACTGGAATAGGCCCTTTCCTGCCCGTCAGAGGCCAACAGCCGGTGCCACCCTGGTCTTAAACGCCAGCCTCCCTCCCAGGTGGACCAGTAATCAGATCGAGGCCTTGCAGACACCATCTGTAGGTGGCTGTCCTCAAATCTCCCTCAGTTTATCCCAGCCCCCAAACTACTCCAGGCCAGACACAAGCTAGGAGGGACTTTTGGTTTTGTTTCCAGAAAGAAAGAAAAAAAAAAAAAAAAGAATGAGAGAGAAGGCCTGGCCATTCCCCACATTCCACGACCCAGTTCTGCACCCCCACCCCGAAATAAAACCATTTTCCTACAAACGGGGTTATATGAAGCTGGATGGGCCACCAACACCCGAAATGGAAAACAAGATTTGGGGTGCAGGGGCCCTAGCCCGCCGGGTCCCCAGGTGCAAGGATCGCGGCCCCGGCGTCCGAGCCGGGCGGCAGGTGGCGGCGGCCCAGGGCGGGCCCAGGCCCCTCCCTCCGCGGGCGCAGCGTCCTCACCCGCCAGGCGCTTCCCGTGCCACCTGTTGGGGCGCAAGGGACCCGATCCCCAACCCGAGGAGGGCGGAGGGCCCGTGGGGCTGCAGGATCAGGGCCCGACGGCCCGCAGGCGCCCGGAGCCTCCTCGCGGGGAGCTGGATTGCTTTTTTCCGGTGAGGAGGGCCGGACGGGGGAGGAGGCCGGGACGAGCGGAAGGGGGAATGGGGCCGAGAATGCGTCCCCTTGTTCTCCAGGTCCCCGCTGGGGGCGGGGGCGGGGGCCACACCCGTAGGCAGAGCTCAATTAGAGGCAGCGGCGGCCAGGCCGGATTGTCGCGCAGGGTGGGGGGAGGGGCGCCCCCGCCGCGCGTCTCCGGTGGGCTTTGCCAGGGGCTCCAGGTGCGCCCGGGGGCTGGCACTCCCGGCCGTAAAGTCCGCCTCCTTCCCCAGCACTGGCTTTTCATCTTTCACCAAGAAGTCCTTCCGAAGCGGGACCACCCCCCAACACTCGCACGCACCTTTTTCTTCTGCTGATGACGCCACTACCCAGACTCAGTTTCCCCTCCCCTCCCACCTCTTCCTGAGAAAACGCGGCGGCGGAGAGGCGGATTTCAGAGAGAGAAGAAAAACCATGAAAGTCAACCCTTCCTCCGACTTCTTCCAAGAATGGCCTAAAAATAAGGGGAAGTTGTGGAGGGACTGATTGGGGCCAAATAGGGCGGCTGGACAGTGGCAGTCCAAGTGGATAGTGACCCCAGCCCTGAGCCCTTTAGAAGGTGGGGACCACAGCCGCCAAGAGGGAGGTCCCCGAGGCTGCAGGACAGACATTCTCCCTCCAGCCTGTCATAATTGCTTTTCACCAGGTTGCTTTTTCCTCTCCCCCATCACAAAGAACCTTAATCCTGGGGAAGAACGCAGGACGTGTCGAGGGTAGTTTTCTGGGGTATGTAGGGGGCAGGTGGTCCTGAGCCGCAGCTCATAACTGGCGAGTTCAATGGGACTTTGAGACTGGGGCAACACCCAGCAATTACTTGAGGACAAAAGCTTGGGTCCCCCCAGGTGTGGAGGACTGGACTTTGGGAAGTTGAGGGAGGAGGCTGGGAAAGAGGTGCGTTGCTGGAGGGTGTCTTGCAATCCCTCTGATTTCCGCAGGAATTTGAGACATTCTTTAAGACAGGACGGCCTCGGCCCACCCCCACCCTCCCTCCCTTGCTCGGGTTAGAGACGGCTTCAAAGGTGGACGGGGCCTTTGTCTGCCTCGGCTTTCTTCTGGGCCTTTCTCTGGCCCCTCCCTCTCTCTGACCTCCCCAGCACACACCAGCCTCAGGGGGCCGGCTCCAGAAAGCCCTTACTGTTCCCATTCTTGCTTTTCGAGGTGAGATCTGGCAGGCAGGGCCAGAGGACAGGGAAGGGCAAGGGAGGGCAGCTTCGGAGGCCTGTGCGTCTCAGGGGTGCCTTCTTTCGCGCCACACCCGAGCTCGGCAGCTGATGCCTGCCCTAGCCTTGGGTCCCTGCCTCTGCTCAGTACCTTCTCCTCCTACCTCTCTTGGTGCCAGGTTCCCTGCCCTTTCATGTCCTGGGGAAGTCAGCCCAGCTCATTCCTTCCAAACTCTGATGACATGGAAGATGCTAGAGGAAGAAGCCAAAGGAATAGATCTCTAGTGACAAGTTCAGAGGGAAGCAATGTTGGGAGTGGGAGTGGGGGCTTTTTTAGGGACTGGACTGCACCAGGCTCCTGAGACCCAGGTTACTTCCTGTGCCAGGGTTATTAGTGGTGTGAGCTGGGGCAGCTCTAAAGGACTGATTATTAATGGCCCTCACTTTGAGGACTAATAGAACCCATAAAGAGGAGGAAGTGACAAGGGGGAGACAATCTTCCAACCCTAAGTTTGGAGGTCACCTAGAGCTCTAAAAATAGCCCCCAGCTTCATCTTTCTTCTGTGTCCTGTCCTCCAAATGGTTAGATGAGGCCAGGGGACCACAGCAGGGACATCTGCCCATTCACTTCTTAGGCTGTGCAAGCTGGCCCTACAGTCACACTATCCAGCCCCGCTTGACAGGTTCCTGTGACCAGGGGCATCTCGGTCACCAGGCCAGAAGCCTTGTCCTAGTCTTTAGTCTTGTCCTGGGACCCACCGCATGTGACTTCATGGAGGGCCACCCCCTTTCTGTGTTACTGGGAATGGAATCCAAGGCCTCCACACTGGGCTGTAATCTTAGCCCTTTTTTAGTTTTTTGAGACAGTGTCTTGCTAAATTGCCTAGCTGGGTTGAGGCTATAGACCCGCCTGCATTAGCCTGGAGGAGTGCTAGAATTGCCAGTGCCCAACCTCCTCCTCCTCCTCCTCCTACTCCTCCTCCTCCTCCTCCTCCTCCTCCTCCTCTTCCTCCTCCTCCTCCTCTTTCTGTCTTTTTGAGACAGGGTCTCATTGTGCAGTTTAAGATGGCCTTGAGCTCACTTTGTAGTCCAAGCTTGCCTCAAACTTCCAGCAATCCTCCTGCCTCAGCCTGAGTGCTGAGATCATAGGTGTGTGCTCCCACGCCCAGCCCCGACCTCCCCTTCTTAAAATGCTCTTCCCCTCGGCCTGCAGTGGGCTGCCTTGGATCTGGCTTCTCCAGCAGAGGTGAAGCCCTGAGAATCCTTCACAGTTCCATCACCAATCACTCCCACTGCCTTCCCTCCTAATCTCTGAACTCCCATTGCAGACAGCCCTGGGATCAGTGGAAACTACTGCCCTGGCTTCCTAAGTAGTGCTCACTTCACTTAACCTGTTTCCTTCAGGCTGTCACACAATGGGCTTCCTGGGCTCCCTGTGATCCAGTACTACTCCACCTGCCTAGCATGGGTCCCCTGCCCCCACCCCCTCCGTCCACTACCCCTACAACAGTGCCTCTGCTCTCTGTATTCCAATGCCCTGCACCCACCCCCAGCCAGCCTCACACTTGCCTAGGCTTCTGGCTCTTGCCCCTGCCTCTGACACATGGCTCTACTGGATGGCATGAGTCTCCAGTGTAGAAATGGTCAATCTTTGCCTGCCCAATGGCACAGGAACACAAGAGAATAATCCAACTTTAGCCCCAGAAAGGCATATATAGAATGACGTCATAAGCAGTTAACTCTAAAAAAATTCTTTTTGGAGACTAGGTCTTGCTACGCAATTCAGGCTGGACTTGAACTCTAAGCAATCCTTGAGCACTGGGATTACAGCATATACCTCTATACCTGGTTTATTTTTTTTTTCCTTCTTTTTCTTTCATTTATTTATTTTTTGGCAGAACCGGGGATTGAACTCAGGCCCTTGCGCTTGCCAGGGAAGCGCTTATTCTACCGAGCCATCTCCCCGGCCCCTATGCCTGGTTTAAATTTTGCTTTATTTTTAAAAATTTAAACAAGGCCAGTGAGATAGCTCAGCAGACTAAAGTGCCTGCTTATTCAGGAACAGTGGTTAGATCTCGGCACCACATGTGTTGCCAGCGCCACCCCCAGGGTGGACTGAGCTGTCCAGAGTCCAGGGTATAGCAGCTCATGCCTGTAATCCCAGCACTGGGGAGGCTGAAAGCAGGAGGATCCAAGCTGCGTAGTGAGACCTCATAAAAACCAAATACATAAAAAAATTTAAAAAATTATTTATTTATATTTTTGGCAGAACCAAGGATTGAACTCAGGCCCTTGCACTTGCCAGGTAAGATTTTATTCTGAGCCATCTCCCTGGCTCCCCCCCAAAAAAAATTTTTTTAAAAAATTTTCTAGCGCTGTTGGGAGGCTGAGGCAGGATCACATGAGTCCAAGACCAGCCTATAATATAGAGCAAGACCCTGTCTCAAAAAAACAATAAAAATTTCTTTCTTAGTATGTTCAAACACTACAGTAACCCTTCAATTAATTAAAACATGGGCAAGATGGAGCTCTCGAAGCACTTGCAGTTTAATTGGGGGGATAAACCCCCCAAGACACATCTTTCATGGAACTTCTGGATCTTTCTCTCTTCTTTTTTTTTAAATTTATTTTATTTATTTTTATTATTTATTTATTTTGTGTGTGGCCAGCTCAGCCTACCAGGGGGCAGGGCTGGCTGGCATGTGGTGCTGGGGGATTGAACCGCGGTCCCTATGCTTTGCTAAGCTTGTTCTAAGTAGGTGCTTTAGACCACTAAACCATCTCACCAGCCTTCTTTCTCTTTTCTTGATGGTAGTGGAGATTTAATTCAGGGCAAGCACTCTAGCGCTGGGCTACATTCCTGCCCAAGCCCTCTTTATTTTGAGACAGCATCTCACTAAATGGCATAGGCTGGCCTGGAACCTGTGGTCCTCCTGCCTTAGCTCCTAAGTGGCTGAGATTACAGATGTGGTCGTCAAGGTGGGCTCTCTTCTACATAAGAGATTAGGGCAGACTTTGGTATATCCAAAAGAGTGGAAGAGGAGGCAAGAAATACTGGGAATCAGGAGTGAGACTGTGCTACTCGCCAGCTGTTCCAGGCAGTATGGACCAAACATTTATAACTGGAAGATGATTCTTCTGGTCACTTAAAGTCAGGCTCACCAGGAGATGGGCATGCCAGGGAGCTCTGCACTCTACCTTCTCCTTTTCAGCCCCTCAAGTGCAGGCCTCTCTGCTCCCCTGCTGGGCCCAATGATTGCTGAGGTCACAGAGAGAGGGACCTGGGGGGACTCTGGAAAGGTGGGTTTTGCATAGCTCCATGTGTTCAGCTGGAGGTGAAAGTTGGCACAGAAGTGGCAGAAAATAATTGGGTCAAATTATGCAGTTTAAGGGCTGGGCAGATGGCTCAGTGGAATAAGTGCTTCCCTGGCAAGCACAAGGGCCTGAATTCAATCCCCGGTTCTGAAAAAAATGCAGTTTGGAGGGCCGGCCAAATAGCTCAGTGATGAAAGTGTCTACAAGCAGGCACAGGGGCCAGGGGTTTGGTCCTGGGCCTGATGTGCTGGCCCCCGGCAGATCACTACAAGTCCAATCTAGTAGTGAGACCCTGAGCATCCTGTAGACTCTTCCCTGGAAGAAAAAAAAAAAAAAATTATGCGGTTTGGAGTCACTTGTAGTGGCCAGAGTCTATAATCCAAGCACTCCGGAGGCAGGAGGATCACGCAGAGTGCAGCACTGGGAGACCCTGTTTCAAAAATTCAAGGTTTAGTCTGGGTGCAATGGCAAGGTGGGAACAGTGAAGGGCTCTGAGGAGTGTCCATTCCACCTGGTGGGTAGCATTCTGGGGTCAAGACTCTGGGGTCCTGAAGGCTGAGAGTCCATTGCCCAGAGGGAAGGGGACATGGCTTCCAGTCTCTGATGAGAAAGGGTCACTTTGGGCCCTTACCCTTCTTTTTCCTCCTCTGGCTGGACCTTCGTCATCTCTCCCTCCCTCCTCCCTGGTGTCCAGGTGCCCTGCTCAGCTCTCCCAGAGTTAATATTTAGACAGCACAGGGTGTGTGGGGTGCATGGTACTCCCCTCCCCAGCAGATTGTCCGGCCATGGGGCGGGGCTGGGGGGCACTGGAGTGAGACAGAAGTGGACACAGAGGCCTGGGGGAGGGGCAAGTGGCAGGGCCAGGGTCCACTCAGGACCTCTGGATCAGTGACCTCGCTGAGGAAAGGAGTTAAGAAGCAGGGGCTTGGGACCCCAACTTGCTTGAGGGGAGCAGGAACCTGAGCACCCTGCTGTGGACTGGAGCGCCCATTCCCAAGTCCAGGGAAGCCTGGTCACTGCGACCAGCAGAGCCAGCACGGTGAGGAGTCTGCGGTGACAGGTTCCCTGGGGTGAGGGTTACTTGGCCTCACCTCACCTCTGTCTTTGGTACGGTGGAGCCTGGGGCCCCGCCCAGAGAAGGAGGTGAGAGGCACTTCAGGACAAAAAGGAGTAGATGGGGGAGGGAGCAGTGGGGCACAATAAACACATATACACAAACCAGGGTCCCACTCAGCCAGGAATGACCTTGGCAGTTGTCACCCTCATGTCAACAGAGGGAGCCCTAACTCTGCAGTCCCCTTGGGTCCAGAGCTGGCTGGGACTGAAGCTATTCCTGCACTCAGCAGCTGACCCCACAGAAGGACATCCCAAGAAACACCCGGCACTGGGACCTGGTGACAGTGGTGGCTGGAGTCCTAGGGGTCAGGAGGGAGCTTCCCAACACTCAGGCTTTTCTCTAGGTGGAGGGCCAGGAGGGAGTGTTTGGGACAAAGAGGAGGAGCCAGGGTCACTGCTCTGTTGTTCTGATCTAGTCGGGCACACTGGACGTCCTGGGATGGGGCAGCCTACAGTGTGCAGTGTCTCCCTTCAAAACCAGCCTGCTGCGTGGCCCTAAATTAGGCTTATCTGGAGTCTACCCCGGAGCCAATCCCTGGTCTTACAGAGGTGGAGGGGAGGAGAGACTTGGTGGGGCACACTGGGAGCCCCAGCCCGGCTTGGAGAGACTCTGGAGGCCCCCTGTCTCCATCTTAGAGGAACCCCAGCTTCCTTCTGCTCCCCGTGCCGCCCGCCCCGAGCCAGGCCTAGGCTGCCGGCAGGTTGTCTTGGCAACGGGAGGCGGAGAGGAGAGGCACGGAGAGATGGAGGTGGATGTCATCGCTGAGGCTGCTGCGCTCCTGCCCCACGCTCCAGGCCCTTGAAGGTACCCAGAACCCGCCCCTGCGCTCCCCTCCTCCCACCCCTCCTTTCCCTGACTCCCCCCACCCTGTCGTACACCAAGGAGACTCCCGGATCGGGGGCTTCCGACCCACCTTGTTCCAATCCCCCATCCACAGCTGTCCTTCCCAGCATCCGCTCATCCCAACCCTGCCTCCGGGGACCTTTGTGCCAGAGGACAGGACCCTGGGGTGGGGTCTTGCAAGAGCTGAGGAAGGAACACAGGGGTGGGACTGTGAGGAACCCTGAAAGGTCAAGGTAGCAAATCCCCGTACTTGGTCTCCGAAGGGATGGTGGGAGATGGATCAGAACAGGGCTCTCTCGCCTCTCTTGCCCAGACCCTGATTCTAGGGCAAGAGGGTGGGGTAGAAAAAACTGAATGTGGAGGACTGGGTGGAGGCCCGGGCTGGCTGGGCGGAAAGCCAGGTAGCTCCTCCTCCAAGGCTGAGTGAGGCTCCCACCCGCACGGGAAAGGTGAACCCCCTCCCACCCCACCGCTGGCCTTTTGCTCCGCAGTTTGGGAATCAATGGTTTCTCCCCTCACCCCTGGTTTTCTCTGTACCTTCCAGGGGGCCCTCCCCCACCCTAGCCAGCAGCTAAGCCTGGGTCCTTTCTCCCTTTTCTCAGCCACTCAGCCACCTGCCTCATCACCAGTCCTTTCTGTCAGGAGCCACCCCTCAGGTCAATGTCTCTGCCTTCCCCTCACCCAGATAGCCCTCCCTCCCGGTCCCCTCCTTTGCGCTCCTCTTTGAGCGAAGATCCTGGGGCACACTCTCACTTGTCCCCCGGAAGACCCGTCCCTGGGGCTTTATGTTCAGATACCGCAGCACCCCCTCCCCAGATTCTAGGTTTCCCCAATGGCCGCTGATACCATCAGCTGACCGGCTGTGGGCAGCAGTTACCAGGGCAACGTCAGGGCTGCCTAGGTAGGCAAGTCTGGTCTTTGGGTAGAGGTGAACAGGAAGTCGGGCTTGACCAGCGAGGGTCAGGGCGACTGCTAGGCTGTCATCTCCTTTCCAAGGGTCACCCCAGGACCAGCGATGGCGCCCTAGGACGGTTGAGGTTTTGCTGGACACGAGAGGCACAGGAGGCCACCTGTCTGAGGCCTCCTGGCAGGAAGCTCCCTACGGCTAAAGCTGCCCTTGGGGTGGGGGGAATGGGTCCTTCATGTTTTCTCTGCGGTGCCCCTTTGCTGTTCCCAGGAGAGTCAGGTTACCTAAGGGACAGCCTGAGCCTCGGGGCTGAGGACTTGGTGTCCTGCGTTCTTCCATCTGTTCCTCCATCAAGGAGGCTAACGACCGATTCATCCTACCTCTGCCCGCACCTCTCGGGGTGGGACCGTAGGAGTCTCTGCTGACGCCGCCAGAGTGTGGGGCGACATGAAAGGGGGGAGGTGCAGGAGGCTGGAGAGTAACGCGTAGTTTCCTCTGTGATCAGTAACACCCCGTACCTCACACCCCCCGACAACTTGAACTCTGGCAGTGGATGAGAAGGCTTCAGGGGCCGTGTGTGTGTGTGTGTGTGTGTGTGTGTGCGCGCGCGCTCGTGAATACTGCAGAGCTCGGAGTATGGGGAAGGCTTTTGAAAAGGACAGCGCGGCCGATTCTGCTTCGTCATGATGCCAGTTAAGCTCCTCTTGTTAGAGATGGATTGAGCGCGCCGAGGTGGAAGGCAGCACATCCAAACACACACGCCCCGTCGCCGCACTATCAGCTGGAGGTGGGAGGGCCAGGAGGGTGTGGGGGCATCGGCGCGGCCCACCCACCGGACTCGCGGGGACCCAAGCGTGTGGCTCGTGGAGCAGCAGGGAGGGGGTGAGGCGGGGTGGGGGCCCCCCCGAGGGGAGATCAGACCTCTCCGCGGAGACCAGCTCTCCTCCTTCGCCAGCTCCCACCCCACCCACCCCAAGCCGGCTTTCTTCCTGTTATTTGTGCTTTGGGAAAGCGCGGCCGGTTTCCTGGAAGCGACGCCTCTTACCTAGGCTTCTGCGAAAACGCGGCAGCCTGGAAACCAGAGCCCGCACCTCTGGGGCCTCCCAACGCCTGGGCCAAACGGGCTGGGAAGAGGTAGGTGGCAGGGTCCCCACCTTCCTTCTCCACGGGGCACTTTGGGCTGCAGTCCCTACCTGGAAGTGAGGGTGTGGATGGTGGCAGGGATGCCGCAGGGAGGGGTCGGCTCCGGGAGAATGGGCCTGGGACAGCTGTGTATCCTGTGTTCAGCCTCCTGATTTGGAGGAGGAGGGGTTAGGGTAGCAGGAGGTCACCGCTTCAGCACCCTTCTCCCTGGCAGCTGCCCTAACTCCAAGTGATGGATATTGCCCCCCCCATTAGGTCAGATGCCCTGAGGCTGAGGGCAGCTATCTGAGGGGCCTGATTCTGCCCGCCTGAAGCCAGCCCCCCAGCCCCTCCTAACTGTGTCTGGGGTGGGGGACACAGGGAAGAAAGGGCGAGGCTTCAGGCCCAGCCTGGCTCCAGTGCTGGCCGCTGGTGTCCTTGCTGGGGCTCCCCTGGGCAGACACATAGGCCCTCCAGGCCCTGGACTCTCCTCCCGCCTGTGCCCTCCTGGAGGCCTGGCAGGCCGGGTCCTTTTCTTGGACAGGCACACCTGTGTCTCCCTCCCCTGGCACTGGTTGCCAGGTTATGAGAGTCAGGGGACCAGGAGCTGGTCTAGATAAGGTGGGAGCCATGGGAATGGGGGACCGATGGGGGAAGCCCCCAGAGGATGGGATAGGGGCTCCTTGAGTGTTGCACAGCTCAGGGATGGTGTTACATGTGGCTCTGGAGGCTGGGATGGAAGTGAACGGATGCCAAGGGGAGGATCAGTGGGTGGGTGCAAGTGGGTGTCCTCAGCACCATGTGTCACATGTGGGGACCCTTGCTGGGAGAGTGGGGGTGTGATCTGGCAGGCAGGGCCTTCCGTGTGCACTCTGCGTGCGCTTTCCGCCTGCACCTGTGCTCACACGCACTCTGCCACCTGTGTGCATGAGCCCTGGCTCCACGGCCAGTCAGCCCGGGGCCCTGTTGTCCATATGAGAGCCGGCATGCACAGAGTCCTTTTTTCAGAGCTCCTGTGTGAAGGCAGCTGAGCAAGGGTGGCTCTGCCTGTCTAGTCTGGACATGGGGACACAGGTCAGCCCTCAGTAAAGGGGAGCAGAGCTCACTGAGACCAAGCAAGCTTGGGGGCCACACCAGAGGCAGGGCACAGAGAGTGGATCTGCAAACCCAGACAAAGAGATCTTTTTTCTAAAAGAAGTAGGTGACCTCTGGGTCAGAAGGAGAAAGTGCCACTGAGGTGGAGTCCACTGTTGTCAGGAGTGCCACCTGCCCTGCCTGGGACTGGTCCCAGGAGACAGAATAGGGGTAAAAAATTTGCTGGAAGAGAGAAAGAAAATGAGAGGTAAGGAATACCTGGGCCTTGCCACCCCGAGAAAAGCCCAGTGTCAGGCCTGGCTGAGGTGTGCCTGGCCCCTGCCCTGGCCTGCTCCACCCACCCTCCTCTCCCCTCCCAGGGATGCTGTTTTGGGATCCAGCCTTTATTTTTGGCATTGAGTTGTTGCCACAGCAACTGCGGAGGTGGAACTGGGAGGGAGAGAGGGAAAGGCAGAGGGAAAGGGAAAGGGAAGAGGGAGCCAGAAAAGATGAAGAAAGAAAAGAAAAGGAGAAGGGAAGCAGGAAGATTAGAGAGAAACACAGACAGTTGTGTTGAATTCGGTGAGAGAGTGAGTGGGGCACAGAGCTCCTGCCTGCTAACCCCAGCCCACTGGGACAGCTGGCCATACTTGCTTCCTCACTCCCCGGCCCTTGTGGGGTGGGAGCTGCGGGCTCACTGCTCTTCGAGGAGGTTGAGGTTGGTGAGCAGGACCCCAGATCAGACTGAAGTAGGATCTTGGGAGTCTGGCTGAAAAGCATTCTTTGGCCTGGGCCTGGGCAGGACAGCCAGTTTGGGTGGCCCTTGGAGAGTTAACCTCTCCACCTCACTTGTCCTTGTCCCAAAGTGAGCAAACTGCTGGTCAGTGGGAAGTTCAGCCAGGACTTGTGAAAGCCCTGAGCATGGACAAGTCTAGTGACACATATCTGGAATCCCAGCACTGGAGATGCCCAGGCAGGAAGATCCCTGCAAGTTCAAGGCCAAGACTGGGTTACACAATGAGTTCAAAGCCTGCCTGAACTACATAGCAAGATCCTGTCTCAAAAAACTAAGAAAAGAAAGTCCCTAGCATGAGCTGGATAACTAGTGAGTGGCTGGCTTGGGCTGGGAGCAAAGACTGGACCACAGAAGTTGAGGGTGCAGCTCTGCCTAGTGGCCTTCATTTCTGCAAATCCCCAGAGCCCCCTGTAACACCAGCCTCAGGGATAGGTGGATGAAAACTTGGAGGTCCTCTGGGCAGGTCTTATCACCCACACGAGAGCTAGAGGCTCTGTTGCCATGGAGATGGGAGGGTGGGTGGTGTGAGGTGGGGCTGGGCTGCTGGCTCCGATAAGGCAGGACACAGCTGGGGGAGGAGGACACAGCTGGGGAAGGCGGGGCTGCTGACCAGGCCAGGCGGGAGAGCTAAGCCCCTTCGGCCACCTGCACTGGCTTCCGGCCATTGCTCCCTCTTCCTGCTGCAGCCTGCCCTTTCGGTCTGTCCCTCAGGTCAGAGTCAGTGGATATAGGCGAGGGTCATGAGTAGGGGGCCTGGAGGTGGAGCCTGGGGAGGCAGCATGAGAAATTACTTTGCGGGGAGGGAGCTGGGTACTAGCAGAGGCCAAGACAACGTTCTCTTTTTCCATTCCCAGTTTCCCTGTCAGCTTTCTGAGAGCCAAGACTTTCACCAGTAAACACTTTTTTTCTTTTGGTACTGGGGATTGAACTCAGGACTTTGTACTTGCCAGGCAGGCGCTTATGCTGCCAGGCGATCGCCCTGGCCCACTAGTAAGCACTCATTCCTTCAGCCTCATCCCAAATTAAAATGCAAATTCAGTACCTGCTTGAGATGGAGGCATACACCTGTGACCATAGCAGCTCAGCTCCTCAGGAGGCTGAGGCAGGAGGATCTCTAGTGTGAATTCAGCCCAGGCCACTTAGCAAGACCCTGTCTCAAAATTTAAAAAGGCTGGGAATATAGCTCAGCATTCCCTGGATTCAGTCACCTGTACTGGGAGGGGGCTTGGTACTCATACCACGGTCTTGTGGGATGATCTCCCAGTTAATGGGCTTCAATTCCACATAGTATGGGGTCCACAGATTATTTAAGTTTTCTCTGAATCTGAGGTGGTTGTTGTTTCACAAGATCAAGTTGTCAGGAGAAAAAGGAAGAAATAATTTTTTTTAATTTATTTATTTATTTGTGTGTGTGTGTGTGTGTGAGAGAGAGAGAGAGAGAGAGAGAGAGAGAGAGTGTGTGTGTGTGTGTGTGTGTGTGGCCTGCTCAGCCCACCAGGAGGCGGGGCTGGCTGGCATGTGGCCCTGAGGGATTGAACCGCGGTCCCTGTGCATTGCTAAGCTTGTTCTAAGTAGGTGCTTTAGACCACTGAGCCATCTCACCAGCCCCAGGAAGAAAGAATTTGGAGTGCAGTGCACAGGGCCAGCGGGGACAGAGATGGCCCATAAACACCAAGTACTAATACTACTCTGACAATTGCCATTTGGAGTCCTGACCTGAGTGGCTATGCCTGGTGCAGGTGCACATGAGCATGGGTCTCTGGCTCAGGGCCAGTAGCCTTTGACATGCCCCCTCCTGTCCTGGGTAGCCCCTCTCTGTGCAGCTCAGGGCAGCAGCTGCTACCCCTCCCATGTCTCTGTTCCCTGTCCTGGGCCACTAGCAGGAACAACTGCATGTCACCGCCTCTGTCCCCTTCCCTAGGGAGCAAGAGGCTTGGCTTTCTAACCTCCTGTACTAATGCCATTGCTGCCCAGCGTCTCACCTCTCCACTCCTCTCCCGCACCACCACTTTCCCCAAGGCCAGTTCTGTCCCTTTCCCCCTGCTGCACCTTGCTCCTCTCAGGCCCCTCAGCTTGCTGCCTTCAGCCCTTCCTGATCCAGTGCCCTCTTTGTGCCTGTAAACTTGGCCCCCGCCCTCTTTCAACATTTGCAGTCAAAAAGCCTGTAATCCCAGCACTCAGGAAGCTGAGGCAGGAAGATCGCTATGAGTTTCAGGCCAGCCTCGGCTATACAGTGAGTTCAAGGCCAGTCGGTGCTCCATAATGAGACCTTGTTTCAACAAACAAACAAAATGTACAGTTGGTCCTGCCTCTGCTAAGTGTCCCTCTTGGTTCCCTTGATCCTTCTATCACACTTCTTGGAGGTGACACTGCCGCTTTGCTAATGGGTGACCAGCCCTTCCTGTCTGTTGGTCCCAACAAGGTGGCTGTCAGAGGACTGACATCCAATCCTTGGAGGACATTATTTCATTTTTGCCTGCAGTGCTGAGGGCTGAACCCTGGGCCTTTGCACTGTTACATCCTCAGCCAGCTATCTATCTGTCTGTCTGTCTATCTATCTGTCTATCTATCTGTCTATCTATCTATCTATCTATCTATCTATCTATCTATCTATCATCTATCTATCTATCTATCTATCTATCTATCTATCTATCTATCTATATCTTAAAGCTTGTTCTCACTAAGCTACTTAACTGCCCAGGCTAGGGTTAAACTTGCAATTCTCCCAGAGTGCTGGGATTACAGGCCTGATGAGTTTTTCTTTTGGAGTTTTGGGTTGCTTTTTTAAAAAAATGTATTTAGTACACGGTCTCACTACGCAGCTCAGACTCACAGTGATCCTCTTGTTTGTAGCCCCCTCATCACTGGGATTACAGGCGTGCACCATCATGCCAGGTCTGGGTGGCCAGCTCACTGCGCCTGGGGGTAGGGCTGGCCAGCATGTGGTGCTGGGGATCCAACCTGGTCCCTGAACGCTTCTAAGCAGGTGCTTAGTCCACTGAATACCTTGCTGGCTCTTTGGGTTGTGGTCTTTTTTGTTTTTATGAAACAAAGTTGCTATATAGTTCTTTGGGGTTTTTTGTTGTCTTTTTTGAGACAGGGTCTTGCTATGCAGTTCAGGCTGGCCTTGAACTCATTTTGTAGCCCAGGCTGGTCTCAAACTTGCAAAAATCCTCCTGCTTCAGCCTTCTGTGTGCTGGGATTACAGGCGTGCACACCCCATACAGGCCTGATTTTGTTTTTCCTCTGTGGTGCTTGGGTGCAAATCAAGGCGTCCCGCATGCTAGACAAGTGTTTACTACTGAGTTACTGCCTCAGACCCTTTATAAGCTTTGCTGTTGAGGCATGTTGCCCAGGCTGGCCTCAGACGTGCAGTCCTCCTGCCTCAGCCTCCTTAGCAGCTAGGCTACAGGTGTGCACCACGCCTGTCCTGGACAGCACGTCTTTCCATATCACCTCTCCTCACCTTGTACACAGCACTGGCCCCGGCTGCTGCAGCCCCCTCTCTTCATATCCTCTCAGCCTTTATGCACTTACTGTGCACCAGGCCCTTTGCCGAAGACAGAAGACATGAGATATTTAGTGTCCAAGAGCAGGCCGCCTCAGTTCCTAGATTTTTATTCATTTTTTTTGGAGAGAGTCACTATGGCTCAACCCGGCCCTGAGATCCTCCTGCCTCAACCTTCTCAGCTTCTAACCATGCCATTGCTACCTCCTCCTGCCAGTCCTCACTGTTTCCCAGGATGCTGTTTGTGACCTTTCTCCCTAGCAGTCAGGCCTTCACACCACCTCTACTGCCATGTCACCAGGGCACCAGTCTGTGCCTTTGTCCCAGATACCCCTCCATCTCCAAAGCCTCAGCCTCTCTGAGCTGGACTCATCCTTTCCCAGCTCTGCACTGGCTGCCACAGGATTTCTCCCCTCTGCCTCTGTCCATCTCCCACCACCATTCCCATGACTGCCTGAATTTCAACCCAGCTTCCTGGTCGGTCTTGCTGGGCACATCTCTGCCTGCCCACTTCAGCTTCCAGGCTGCACCCAGATTCATTTCCTCCAAAGACCTGTGTCACTTCTCTGCTTAAAATACTTTTTATTTTTAATTTTTATTTTTATTTATTTATGTGTGTGTGTGTGTGTGTGTGTGTGTGTGTGTGTGAACTGGGGATTGAACTCAGGCCCTTGTGCTTGCCAGGGAAGCACTTATTCTACTAAGCCATCTCCCCAGCCCTTAAAATACTTTTTAAATGGTGGCACACATTTATAATTCCAGCACTCAGGAGGCTGAGGCAGGAGGACTGACAAAAGTTTGAGGCCAACCTGGGCTGCACAGTGAGTTTAAGGCCAGCAGAACTACACAGTGAGACTCTGTCTCAAAACAAACAAACCAAAAAGTATTTAAAGCCAGGCATAGCAGACACCTCTGTAATACCAGCACTCTGGGAGCCTGAGACAGGAAGATCTCAAGCTCAAGGCCAGTGTAGGCTACTTGGCAATATATTGTCAAGTGAATTTAGGACCAACCTGCACTATATAGCAAGTCTCTGTCTCAAAAAAAAAACAAAACAAACAAAAAAAAAACCAATAAATAAATTAGTTAAACAAATAAATAAAAAGGGCCAGGAATATAGTGCAATGCAAAGGCCTCATAAACTTCCCCCCAATTTTTTTTTCACATCAGATGGGTAATGCGCCCACGTCGTAACAAGGTTTGAGGGAGGCACATCTCATGCATTATAAGACATGAACACCCAATCATCACGCTCATGAACCAAAGGATCTTCCCCCCAATTTTAAGGGCTGGGCATGGTGGTGTGTCCCTGCAGGGCCCTGGTACTCAGGAGGCTGGAACAGGAGAATCACCTTAGCCCCTAGTGTGCTAGACCAGCCTGCACCACATAGCAAATCCTGTCACAAAAACAAAGTATTAACATATTTCAAAGCCTCCTATGGTTCCCTGATGCCAACAGAATATGACCTGACCCTCGGATGGACAGAAGCTCCCCAGTACATCGAGGCCGATGGTCAGTAACATTCGATGTTTCTGGCCGGTATGTCTCGTGTCCTCCACCTGCGCTCAGGCCACTTTCTCGTGGAGCAGGCTCTCCATGAGCACCAAATACCAGTGTGTGTCCACAGCCAGTGTTTTCCTACAGTCTTGGTTCTACAATCCCCCAGATGCCTGAGAAATCTGGCAGGTTCCAGTCTCCCACAGGGACCCAGCACGGGTAGGCACCCTGCAGCATGCATTCGGACTAGCCTGCACCACATAGCAAATCCTGTCACAAAAACAAAGTTTTAACATATTTCAGCTCCTTGATGCTGGTAGATGTGCTTGTTTATTTCTATTTTTTAGAGACAGGGTCTCAAGTGCAACTCAGGCTGGCCTTAAACTCTCCAAGATCCTCCTGCCTCAGTCTCCCGAACGCTAGGATTACAAACATGTTCCATGATGGCTAGTTTTTTGACTGCCCTGGACCTTGAGGATGAAAGAAAGTACTTCTTAGTGCTTCTTTGCTTTTCTTTTGTTTTGAGATGGTTTCACTATGCAGTTCAGGCTGGCCTTGTGCTCCCTTTTGTAGCCCCCAGGCAGGTCTCCTTGGAAAGATCCTCCTGGCTCAGCCTCCCAAGTGCTAGGATTACAGGCATGCACCACCACGCCCAGTTCTGGGGCCACACTGTGGGCACCCGCATCCGGGGCTGAGTCCACACAGCCTGTGGGGCTGGGGATAGAACTCAGGTCCTGTGCTTGCCAGGTAGGTGCTTATGCCTCTGATCTATCTCTCCTGCCCCCTTCTTCTTTTTTTTTTTTAATTTTATTTATTTATTTGTGTGTGTGTGTGTGTGTGTGTGGCCAGCTCAGCCCACCAGGGGGGCGCAGCTAGCTGGCATGTGGTGTTGGGGGATTGAACCGTGGTCCCTGTGCTTTGCTTAGCTTGTTCTAGGTAGGTACTTTAGACCACTGAGCCATCTCACCAACCCCCCTGCCCCCTTCTTTGTGTTTATCAAAGTACCTAGCAATTAAAGATCAAATGATGCCAGCTCTGAATACTCCAGAACTCTGCTATCTGCAGGTTTGAAACTTGCTCCATGCCAGGCAGCACAAGCCCAGCACTTAGCGGCCATGGCTCTCCTTAAGCCTGGGGTTAAGGAGGGAACAGAGCAGCAGAGGCGGGGCTTTCCATGAAGGCAAGAGGCAAGAGACGGCCACAGCTGTGGACCTGGGGGCCAAAGCAGATGTGGGGCGAGCTGCTTGCCGTGTAAGTGGGCAGGTTTGGTGCCAGAGTGCAAAGGAGCCGGAGCATGGGCTTGGGGGTTGGTCTTCCCTGAGCTTGGACACAGAAAAGCCCATAGGTTCATCCTGGGAGGCCAGCAAACAGCTCACCCTCCACTTGGAACTATCACAGCACACATTTCACGAGTTCCGTCTCAGCTCATCCTCAGAGCGATTCGGTGACACAGGGACTGTCACCACCACCCATTTTAGTTGTTTTTTTTTTTTTTTTTTTTTTTTTGTAGAACCAGGGATTGAACTCAGATCCCTGTGCTTGCCAGGCAAGCGCTTATTCCACTGAGCCATCTCCCTGCCCCAACCACCACCCATTTTAGAAAGGCAGAGAGAGAGGGGAAGTAACTGCCAAGTGCTCTGGCTTCAGGGTGGCCCGCGCTGACTTCTGCAGTTGTGGTCACTCTGGGCCTGTGGACAGGCAGCCCAGAGCCACCGCCACGCGAGACCCAGTCAGGCCTTCAGGGCGTGAGTATAGGGTCCAGGGTGGGGTGTCCCAGAAAGAAGGCAGGGTCAGGGTCACAATCCCCCTCTGCAGACGGACCAAGTCCTCAGGTATTGAGCACGTGGGTGGGGTGCCCAGCGCGGGAACCTTGAGGGCTTTCTGAGGACTCCCTAGGAAGCAGGAGAGAGGCCTGGGTCCCTGGTGTCCCTGAGTCACCGATGCCTGCGAAGCACAAGGGGCGTGGCCAGCTCCAGCCAGCGCCCTGCGGGCCCCACACCCACCAAGCTTGTCCCCGCGCATCCCCGAGGATGGACGACTTCCCGCAGGGAAGAGGCTGGGTGGAGGGGCCTGGAGGCGTGACCCAGGCAGGTGTGGCCAGGCGGGGTACAGAGGCCGCTCGCACCGGGCGGCGGGTGACCCCTGCCGTCATTTCCTCTGGAGAACAATGGCTCAGAACCGGGAGCCGCCGGCCGCCCTGGCCCTCCCTAGGGCCGAGCCAGCGCGAACCCGGCCGCCCGCGGGGACCCAGCCTGACGGCTGCCCGGGCCCCGCCCGCCCCTCCTTGCAGACGCGAGTTGCCGAGGGATGAGGACGCGTCCGGGCCGTGCCACGCCCTCGCCGCGGGATCCGGCCCGCGCCTGACCGGCTGTCCGCGCCCGTCCACCCGCGCG